GCAAACGAACTGAAAATGGCTGTTATCAGCATAATTGTAGAGCGAAAGGAAACATTTAAATTTGATACTGTAATATTTTCGGTCACCAAGAATGTCTTCAATCGAAACGGTCTGCCGCCTTATTAGAAACGGTTTAATTACGAATTTTCAAACCGCATCGAACACAAAGTTCTGATATAAAATGCGATGACTATCAGGATTTTTTGATCTACTACCGGATAAAGACGCATCGGTCGAAGACATTATCATAAACTCTTATTTTCTCTATGTCTGTCCAACGAACCTTTTCAGTTCATCCAGTCATCGATATGGAGACTTCCTGCGGGTCATTTATCTTAAAACCAAGTCAAACGTCTCTCTGGTGCAGCGATGGTCGGTTGACTTACAATAGACCATGCCCACTGCCATATTAACTTCTTTACTTGACGAATGACAAGCATGTACTTGTGCTTTTATCCAGTGAATCGTCTTCCGACCGTTTCTTCCTATGCTCAACATACTTCTTTCAGCGCTGTCTTACGCAGTCCGTAGTTTATGGATAGCTGTCAGGTGTGGAATGCAGATTTTGTATCTATAGGTTAGCACTGGGAGTACATACTAATCGAAAATTTGTTTCAACGACCGGCTTTCCAGAAGAGAACATTTTCAGTCTTCTAAAAGTGCTCCACACCAATTTTGTTCTTCTGCTGATTTCACATAGTCGGTTCTCAGTTGAAGAGTTGGGTTGTCCCAGAATGACACAGTTTTGCATCTCTTCAAGTACAAGTTCGGTCAGACATCATTAATGTGGGTTTTCTCTCTCTGAACCCGATACGTCAGATGACGACAGCAACAACAACAAGTCTAAGTCTACTGATATGAACAGGTCGTGGGGTCACGTATTTGTTACGCAAGACCTGACTCTTATTCAGGTTCATTTTCAGTTCTACTTTCATGATGGCTTTGTTTAACTCCTGGATGTTCATTGCAGCTGTTCGATCTTCCGGCGATCCTCAAAAGATCAGAATATTGTTCACAACCTGCAGGTGGCTTAAGTAGTGCCCAGTGATGTTCAGCTCTAATTTTTACAAACGACTATCTTCTTGAAAACTTCTTTTATGGTCGTTGGGAGTGAGTTTGGTAATATTACGTCCTCTTACACGACTTATTCGATTTTGAACTCATTTGGCATTTCGTGAAACTTCTCACTTGCAGTTGCGTTCTTTTAAAGCATGGCGATGATCTCCCAGCATCTTTTCTCGACTCCATAGCTCCTCAACGAATCCAGTACAGAACGAAAGCTCTGCTGGAGCTGAGTCGAAAGCCTTCTGGAAAGCGACAAACTCGAGGCAACGAGGAGTGATATTCGTTGCTTATCAGAATGACTTGTTGCACCACCTGGAGATGATCCATCCTCCTAAATATGATGGAGGCCGCGTATACAACTTAATAATGTTGACGTCGAACGGCTGTTCTACGCTTCCCTTTTTTTAACCAGTTCTTTTCTTTTGTTGGTTTGGTGAGTTTTCTTGGCTAATTCGAACTGCATTCTTTTAACATTCACAAGATGAGAAAAACAAGTAACATAAATTTACTGCTTACATTTAATGCATAAATGTTGAGCGTCCGCTAACCCGGCTTATATCCAATAAATTGCAAAAATTCACCAAGAAATATAGCCATATTTCTGACTTAAAGTACATGATTTGTTCATCGCCAAAATCTGCCAGCTATAAAATCCCGGATTTTCAGATCGATCTAGATCCATCTTCAGGGGACATGATGGAACAACAAATATAAAAACAATGTCAGCTTTACGTTGCCACAAATTACATAATGTCGGCTGAAAATGGATCAAACTCTATCCAAAACATCGGGATTTTATAGCTGCAGAGTAAACGCTTAGAGATGTTAGAAACGAACAAATTTCTGTTGTCATAAAAGTTGCAACAAAATAAATGCGGACGGCAAAAAAAGTATCTGCAAAAAGATGGAAGAGATCAATTGCCTCCCGTAACATTTCAACGATACCCATTCGCTGTCTTGCATGTTCAATGATAATAGCGATCTCGACTGTTTGTCGATCAATGATTTCAAGCAATGATGAAATTAATGGCAATGCAAAGCTCATTTTATTAATAATTATTTCGATGTCACAAACTAAAAACTCTCATGAGTGCGAGGCCTTCATTCAGAATGCTTTTAAACGAATATGCAAATTCAGTAGACGAAAGGTGAAAACCAAAGAAGTGACATCGAGACGACTTTACGATAATCGTGTGCGACATGTTTCACTCTGAATCGATAATTCATTATGCTGCAAATGACGCCGAACAGCTGCCTTCAGGATGAACCCAAATGCAGTGTACTTTTAAATAATGCGAGGAAAATAAAATCTAACTCATTCCGCAAACTGCACTTAGGCATTAAATGGCAATGAGAAATGTTTGAAATCTGACATAAATTCCTCACTGTTGCCACGTTTGTCCAATTGACTTCGATGACCTCTTAAAATGCGAAAGAAACGTGTAGTGGCCACTTAGCCTTTCAAAGCAGAAGCACAAGATTAAACAGAGACTAACATTACGATTATTAATCCAATTTAGTCTAATCCAGACGGCGATCACCCGGGCTAAAAATGTGAAGTACGTTGGTGTAGTGGTTGATGACAAGTTAACATGGTCCGATCACATGCTTTACGTTCATCAACATAGTGAGAAATGTCAATTTCTACCTTGGCAATTTACGCTTGCCTAGAAACTCATTTTAATTTGCGTTGGGGATTTATAATGTGTTGCATAACGTTGATGATCATTTATGCTCCTCCAGTCATTTCGGAGCTTTTACGAGAGATAATTTTACTCTTCTGTGACGTACTAGGGCAAATGCTAGATCTGGAGAATTGCAGTACGATCACGTGGCTAAGCCCGTTGTGCACACTGCTTACGACAGTTTTGTATCTTTCGCTGAACGGGTTTTCTAGGACATCAACGAGCCGCTACACACAAATTTAACGGCCTGTTACTCTTAGACTTCCCTAGAGATCCACAGCTGTTGTAACAATTGGAGCCAAAAGGTGCTTCCCGTTCGGACCGCAGAACGAACTAGCAAAATCAACGTTATTCACTACCCTAAAGAAGGCCCGTGAGGGTTTATGGTGGCCAATAACTCGAATGATCAATTTGACTGTATTGTGTATGAATACACCGTGCTTTGATACATTTTCACTCTTCGGTATGATAACCAACGCACAAACGAAATATTCAATCTTTGAATGCCACTTCCATTGATAAGGGGAGTCAAACATTGGCATATGAATTAATAAATCGCTGCATGTGGCAGCAAAACCAGACTGTTTAACGAAAGTACGAGTCTGTTCACTTTGATGACTGCTGGAATATCTTCCGTCAGCTTGTTTGAAAGAATTAATGGAACAAAGGATGAGGTTACTTCAAGTTTTATACAACTGATTTCAAGACATCGTTATTTTTGATTAGCATATTACTACGTTGATAACAGAGAAGTGGTGGCATAGTGGTAACGAGATAGGCTTTGAACTAAGGGGGTGCTGCATTCTAAACCGCTGAAGAGAAACAACCTTTGTCTTAAACCCGAACTCATTTGAACAAGAAATTAAGCCTAAGTTGCTTCGGTGCAACCAGCAAAAAACGAACGGTAAGTTCATGGCTTTCGAGTAATAGAGGCAGCATGGCACTTTGGTGTAATTATACCTGACTGGATGCACGGCCATGTTGCCCAACATAAGCGCCCCTTGTGGCTGCATTTCGCTTTGATCTACCTGAGAGCTGACTACATTGTGCATTAATTAACATTACATGTAATAATTAACATTACATGTAATAATTATCGAGATCCATGAAAAGGCTTGTATGCGGCGTAGAAAAGTATTGGAAAATAAGGTGTTTTATAAAGTCCTTGTTAACTGCTGCCTTGAGCCTTGGATCGGCAAGTGAACGCCATTAAGTTGCTGATTAGTAAGATATGAATTTATGCAAATCACGCACGGCGCAAATGTTTTGCTGTTGTTGACTGACCAAGGTTTCGGCCGAAGTTTCCAACCTATGTCGACTTCAAGCAATATAATACTGATCCCTCAAAAAACCTTTGCATTGCGTGTAATTTCCATAACGCCATATGTTACTCATGTGGATACATACGTAAACTATTTACTGCGTTAATTACTGTTAACATGTTAATAAATTATTATTGTTGTTATTAAATCATTACTGTCACACTGTCATGTAGATAAATGAATACCCGTTTACAGGTTTCGAAATCTTCATGTTTAGTAAATATTTTACTTTTCGGTTTTCCGATAGTTTACTAATTTGTTTTCTGTTGCCTTGGGAGAGGCGATGAGTCTAACATGCGAATTATTCTAAGTCGCTAACGACTATCTGCACGGTCTCCTGTTTCCTTCTCTCACCGAGGTACTCATTTATCGACCTGGGAAGGAAGGAAGGGAAGCGAAGGACTCGACCAGTGCTTAAACTCGGAAATTCGCAAGATTCCGAGTGCCACGATCTACCGAGTGAACAGCTTTCACACCATAGACGATAAAGAACCTAACGAGCAACTCGGTTCCGCATTGAAGTTGAGACTACTCAGAAAAACATAATCGAAATAAACCGCATCACAACCGTAACGTTTTTTTCGTACATGTCAGCTATGCAATTATTGTGCAAGCACTGTTATTTTTTGCACGTAGTTTTATTGACGGTTGCTTGTTTTTAGTTAACGATTGATAGAAATGAGGTAAACGAACGGACGTACCTGTTGACCCTGAGACCTCAGCGGTCAGTCTCGGCGAATCACCAGATTGCTTCTTGTCATCGGAACTGGAGCTTTTCAGGTTCGACACATCGTAGGATCCTTTCGAACCGGAGCTACCCATTTTTTCTTCGATTGATGCGAATGAACGTCAACGAAGGGCGATCGCAAAACACAACAATGATACACACAGATGGGGGGACACTTGAAGACGATCACAGCGATGGTGTATGGTGTGCTTCCTAAGAGAAAGAGAACGATTAGAAGACGGAAACGACAGAGCAAAACAGGTGCACGTGCAGGCGCGAGGAGGAAGAGGCGAAGAGCGCGCGCGCGACGGATGCCACGACGGTGACGGGGACAATGAGGTCACTCGGGGTGAGGACATTGTTCATCCATTGTAGGAAGACTTCGGACGACGGGCGGCGGAACTACACAATGGCAATAAGGTTACTGAGGCAAGGACCGAACCGCTTTCGCTCGATCCCGGCCGGTTGCACTTGACGAACGACATGGAAGATCACTACACCGGGCTACTTAAGATGACCGGACACACAGACATGATGCCACGAGTACCTTCACCGAGTCACCAATGAACGAATGACCTGCTTGAATGCATCGGTGAGTCTGATTAATCATCACAGAGGAACGACCGA